AAGTGGAGAGACTGCAGAGGAAGGGATTACAAGAGAGTAAGTTATGCTGGCTGGAGGATTCTGGGAGTTGAAGTCCACGAGTCTTAAAGTTGCCAAGTTTGAAGACCTCTGATCTAAGTGGAGAGACTGCAGAGGAAGGGATTACAAGAGAGTAAGTTATGCTGGCTGGAGGATTCTGGGAGTTGAAGTCCACGAGTCTTAAAGTTGCCAAGTTTGAAGACCTCTGATCTAAGTGGAGAGACTGCAGAGGAAGGGATTACAAGAGAGTAAGTTATGCTGGCTGGAGGATTCTGGGAGTTGAAGTCCACGAGTCGTAAAGTTGCCAAGTTTGACGACCTCTGATCTAAGTGGAGAGATTGCAGAGGAAGGGATTACAAGAGAGTAAATTATGCTGGATGGAGATTTCTGGGAGATGAAGTCCACGGGTCATAAAGTTGCCAAGTTTGACGACCTCTGATCTAAGTGGAGAGATTGCGGAGGAAGGGATTACAAGAGAGTAAATTATGCTGGATGGAGATTTCTGGGAGATGAAGTCCACGGGTCATAAAGTTGCCAAGTTTGGGGACCCCTGAATTAGAGGCTCATCCTTTGTGCATGTTTTCATTTCGAATTGTGTCTTGGGATGTATGCAATACCAAAGGTCCAGCTACCTATTAAACCTTGGCCCTTCGCTGTGCATATGGCAACCGCAGTTCCAGGGCTCGTCAATTTCAGGAGAAATTTTCCTTCCGTTCCAATTAAGGGCAGTTGTAACACATTTCGTTTCCCGTCGTTTTCCACCTTCCCAGCCCCTTTGCAGGAGGAAGGGGAAAGGCTCAGCCGCTTACCTTGGCTCACCTTCCTTCCCTCCCACAGGTGATGTCATGAACCTCAAGCCCGAATCTTCCTTTGAGGGCACCAAAACAGGTGTGGGCAACATCGTCCTGGCCTTGTACAGCGGCCTCTTCGCCTACGGAGGATGGTGAGTTGTGAGGATCGTCGAGAGTTGTGGGCCAGGTGGAAGTTGGGTTTCCACCCCTGTGTTCCAAATGAGGAAGAACCTGCTACCATCGGGAACAAGGAGTCTCAGGGCAAGGAGACCTTGTGATCTTTAGATCTCTGGATCTCCTGTTTTTGTGTGAGAGACAAAGAGCCTTTGCTAAGTTGCCGCGTTGTTCTCATCCGACAAAGTCAAGATGACTCCTTGCCCCACCATCGCAACTACGTATTGCAAACTGAAAAATCTTTTTTCCTTCTTTCAAACTGCAGGAATTACTTGAATTTTGTCACAGAAGAGATGATTAACCCTTATAGGTGAGAGTTCCCGAAACCTTGTACTGCTGCTGAGAAGGTGGCCTCTGTATACTTTTGGGCTGCTAAGCAACCGGAAGAAGCTGTAAACCAGATGTTCTTGTCTCTTTTCAGAAACCTCCCTCTGGCCATCATTATTTCACTTCCCATCGTCACCTTGGTCTATGTGCTGACCAACCTGGCTTACTTCACCACCTTGTCGGTCAACGAGATGCTGGTGTCAGAAGCTGTTGCTGTGGTAACTTTGCAACTTTAAAGATTTGTATGCCGCCCACTCCCCAGGGACTCTGGGCGGCTCACAACAAAGTCAAAAAACATAGAATATTAAAAGTACAATTATTTAAAATAAAATCACCATTCCATCAAGTGGGGCTGGAAATTAATCAACAGCCCCAGGCCTGCCGGAACAGCCAGGTCTTGGTTGCTTTACGGAAGGCCGGGAGAGTGGTGAGGGTATGGATCCAAGGTGGCGCAGTGGTTAAATGCAGCACTGCAGGCTACTGCTAGATCAGCAGGTCAGCGGTT